GTTGGATTAGTGTTGAGTTTGGTCGGAAAGAGAGTGGCATGAGTTTGTTCGTGTTGTGAACAAAAATTAGTGGTGTTAAGTGTTGTAAATTTCTATTGATGGGGTGTGGCATTTATGTTGCATTTTGTCGAATCGAGTTGGCACTTGATATTCACATAAACCTTTGCAGTAGTGATATGGGCATTGCTCATAGTGTTACTCAATTGATGATCAAGTCATTGTGATACTTACATCATATCCATGTGATAATGAGCAATGTGTTTACGAAGTTGTTTGGTTAAATGATGATCAACCCCAAAGTGGTTGATGGAGAAGCTAGTCTACTTGTACGAAGTAGCATTGTAGTAGCTTTGACTAGATTTTCAATGGTGGTCCATTATGCTAAGCTTAAGCAGGTACCTTGTTTCATAGAGTTCGCCCATTAAAGTGTTGGAAAAAGGTTATAGCATTCGTTTGTTATAACTTGTCGGTTGACCCGTTAACACTTAGAGTAAATTGTTGGATGGAGAAAATGTGTAGTTGGGGCATTGACATCACTAGCACTTGTGCTAGTGGGGATGACATTGTTATGTTGAGTGACGAGGAGTTTTTTTTTCCTTAAGCTTGATTTTTCATGTCATTTTTCTTGTTAGTGTTTTGGCTTCACATTGGATCTTGAAGGTGATTGAAGAAAAGTGTTAGTGCAATGTGAATATCCGAAGATGTGGTTTTCGTGATCAAGCATTGGATGTTCATTTTGCACTTTGCGGATGTCGGTGTTGGATATCGGTTAAATGGGCAAAGATGTTCGATACTTAAGCATATTGATGGATCATGAGAATTTGTGTCAAGATGAACCTATGTGAAGTTGTTTGTAAGAGGAAGTTGGTTGAGTCTTGAAAGTTTGTATTCCTGGACTGAGAGCCATTCTTTCTCTAGGATGGAAATTTTTCCATAAATTTTTTTAGGCTTTTCCAATGGCTAATCTGTTGGTCACTTTGCTCGAAAACCATTCCGTTTTCGTAAGCTAGTACAAACTAGTGAAATGGTTGGAGTTGACTTTGGTTGGCTTAGACCTTAGTAAATAGTTTGTATGATGCAGCCCGGAAGGGATGTTGACTTTTGGGGCTAAGACAATTGAGTTGGATAGAGTCTAGAGTTAGTGTAGAAAAGTGGCTGTGCATTTTTCTTAGAAAGGTGTCCCTTGTACCTTTCTTTTGTAGTGTTATGCTTGGTGGCAGGTTGCACCTTGCATTACGTTAGACTCTATGAGAGTAGTGAGTTTTCACTGATCTTGACTTAGTCTTGGTGGCCCTGCGCCTTGGCTGAGGATTGTGATGTCCAACTTAGTTGTTTGAGGTTGAGATGTTGATACCTGTACTATAGCTATGTCTATAAGGAGGTTGTTGTACCGATATGAGTCCATCTCATGGTCTTCACTTTAGTTTCGACTGAGTGTTGATCATATAGCTAGTCTCTTCAAGGCATGCTCAGAGCTATTGACTAAATGCATTAGTGAGCTTATTGTGGTTGAGTTGGATTCGAGTGGTCATTTAGTTTGTGCTTGTCTATAAACTTTTATCTCGTACCTGGGGTATTGTGTTCATGTTAGACAAGTATGTGACTCGATAACATGATTTTTTTAACTGTGTTGATGTTCAAACGAACTGAGTGGCAAGTTGAGTTAGTTGTGTTCTAGACGAGATTATTTAGTAGAGGGTTGAACTTTAGCTTTTCCTTGAAAAGTGATTTAGTTGTGGACTATGCTAACTCTACGAGAGGAAGAGTTAGTGATCGATATTAGAATGTTGAGTCCTTGTTAGATTTGAGTTCGGGATATAGCGATCATTAATGATTTTTTTTGGGCTTGTTATGAAGTGAGTTATGTCTTACATTGCTAACACTTACTTAAGCAACTCTGGTTCCTTGGTATTATTGACCGGGATCTATTCAAATTAACTTATGCGATGGTTGGCATGACTAAGTGTTTGTTGGTCTTACCACATTCATTCTATTCTGTTGATTGTTGTTAGAGTTAGTTCTAATAGATTAGGATGTTATTTCCTTTGGGTGATACATTCGCGAGCATTGTGCTTGTCGGTTAAGGATACTTTGTGTTATTTGAGTTATCTTTCATAAGTGGTTTGGCATACTATCTACAATCTTTGGTAGTTAAGTTTTCTCATTGAGTGTACTTGATGATATACTTGCTATTGAATTTTGTTGGATGGTGAATCTTATATTTTCCAATGATAGTGATCTTGGTGGTTCCTATACTGTAATCCTAGTTTATCGGATGATAACTTACTTGGAATACTTTTGTGTTCTAACCTAAGATATATTCACTGATAATTAAGTCTCTAAGATATCATTGTTTATGACTTTGATATTGTCCATCTATTGATCTTTGAGTTTGGGCCAGTATAGGTAGATTGGCTTCAGCACTTCGTGTGCATGTTGAAATCTCTAATCATGGGATAGCTACTGTCGACTGGTCACATAACCCACCTCTCTGTTGATGTTCCTTTTTCGTTGAAAGGGCGTGACCGTGTAAACAACTCTAACTGCCTATTTACAGTAGTCTATCTAAACCTTACCGACGGGTTTGGTTTCTTTGCTTAGGAGGGTTGGGGCATCTGGCTTCTCTTTCTATGTCTCTGCGGGCAGGGGCATATCACACTTTTGTAAGTTAGGTGACTCCTAGAGCAGCAAGGGTGGCTAACTCTGTTGGTCATTTCCTTGTCGGCGACGGCCGGAAGGTGTTTGAGTTGGTAGTGCATCCGCGTTAAACAAAGAGGTTACCCCTTAACTCATTTAAGTTGGTGCATTTTTCTGGAGTTGTTTCCTTGGCGGTATTCTAGACTCGAGTATGCATCGACGAGGACATTGATCTTCCCTAGGGGGGGAGAGTGTCGCGAATGTGACTTCAGGTATTGAAAGTTACCTGTTGGCTAGTCCTTTTGGATATTCTTTCCTTACTACCACGATGGCAGAAGGTCGGTATTGCTAGACCCGTTATCAGTTTCCCACTTGAGCTAGTTGAGAAACTGGTCAATGACCATGCATTTAGATTGGATAAACATAAAGTAGGAACCCTATGTGTTTCTTGCTGAGCATACTCGGCCTGGTTTGAGAAACTTGAGTCATTGGCTTGCACTTGCTAGTATCAAGAACCCCCGCGATATTGAGATTGGTCCCTCAACATCGCTAGATGATAGCTTACCATGTCTGCCAAACACCCTCGCTATCATGCCCTTTGCGTTAGTCTCATTTCGGTCCTAAATGCTATTTATGGAAAGTGTCCAGATTTGCTCATTTGGCATATCTATGGAATGTAGAGATTGTTCTGAACACAATGGTGTTCATCCCATGTCCAAATTCGCAATCTAAGGACATTCCATATTTAGTAAGTTTCGAGCTTGTCCCAGAGACTAACTCTTGATACTAAGGGAGGCTTGGGGTGAAAGCCCAAAGCGTGTGTTCCTCAAAGGGGGGGGGTTGTGGGGGGTTCCAAATGTATAGTAGGGATAGTGGGTAGGTCGGGCATGGCTAACCAACTTGAGGCATAGTCTAACTCCCGCTTGTGTGCCTGTCTTTGTTCTGCATCCGGCTTGGGTCTAAGCCCAAGTTCCATTCCATGCTAGCTAGTGGAGTACCTATATCCTCACGTTAGGCCACCGGTATGCCGAAATAGCGCCAAACTCCGTTTGGCTTCGTTTTGCGTACTGATCCTGGCATTGGGAAGCTGGTTGCTCCAGGACTGTTCCAAGTCGCTCCGGGCTCCTATCCCTTCACTCCTTGGGCTATATGCTCAAGAGTTGCTCCGTGGTTCGGTTCTATCACTCCTTGGCTCTACGTTTGGGAGTTTGGCACCGTTCCTTCGTTCAGTGGCCCAAGGTCCTGAACCTTGAGTTCCGCACCATGTTCCTTTGGACACATGGCATGTGACACATGGCATCTGTCACGTGGCACAAAGAGGGTTTAGGTTCCGCTTCGTGGTGTTATCCTATGGTAAATCACCATAGGATAAAGGGTCAAAACCACATGTGCTACATGTAATCATAGATATTGTTTTGTATTTGAGAAGGTTGTGGTAAATTTTTTATTTAAAATAAAAAACTCAAAAACTATTATTTCAATATTGTTAGCACTTATTTAAATTTGTTAGATTAATTAAGAAAGGCTTATACTGGGGATGATAATATTGTGGCTGCAACCTTAAAAGTACATTTATATATGTCATTTTTCTTTAGTTCATCACATGAGCTGGTGAAAAAGCTTTTAGAGTTATTGAAAAAGAAGAATAAACTTGAGTTAACAAAAAAGTTGCCTAAATATTTGAAAAAGCAAAAGCAAATAAGCCAAATAAACTGGAGTTGAAAATATTATTAATGCTCCTCTTTTTGTTCTTCTACTACTTATTTTAACTCTTTTCTCAACCTCATTCTTTGTTAACTCACTGGAAAACACCATTAACTTCTCTTAGTCCACTAAGTAAATTTTTTAACTTCTAATTACTAACCACTTCTCAACTCGTTATTCTAAACTACTCTGGTATAACCACTTAATACCGGCTGCCTAAAGTTTTGTGGTATAAGGTTTAGAGGTACATGATAACATGGAGGATCAGATCATGGGTTATGAAGGATGACAATGTAAGTAGTACATAAGCAAGTGTTCGAGAATTTGTAACATACCTATGTCTATCTGTGTTTGAGTTGAGATTTTTCTGTGTTTCAGAGTGTGAAGTGGAGAGGCTTGAAGCTTGCAACATCCTGTGCAAGCACCTTGAGCTGAGTCACTGTAGTGTAAGAGTTCCAATGTTTTTTCCTTGGCATGTGCGGAATCCCGAGGAGGAAAAGCTCGTCGTGGAAATGCAAGCCAAGCTCGGCAAAGTGGGCCAAGATCGATGCCTGGCGCACTGACAACGATGTCAAAGACTTGTGGAGTAACAGGCAGAAGAGGCAGAAGAGGGCACTGCAGCGGCAAAGGCGACTGCTCCGGCCTCGACTTGCACGACATGAACAAGGAGCCCCTCGACGAGTTCTCTGCATTCCAGGTAAGAAGAAAAGCCACACTTGTAACTTAATCTTCCAGCCATCTCGCAAGCCTGTAGAGCTGAAACGAAACTAACGAAACAGATAGAAAGAGAATGCTACGCACTGTAAGGAAATCCCCCCTCCAAGAAGGGACCAAAGAACACGCAGAGATGCGAGAAAACCCTGACAGGTTGACTGGAAAAACAAAATAAAGAGCGTGCCTCGTTCATTGTTCACAGCCACAGTTGTTTTCTCGACCGCACAGGTTCCGAGTCCTGCACGCTGCTGTCGTCGCCCTTCCAGAGCTTCGCCCGGCGTCTCTGTTTCGGGAACGAGGAGGAGGGCGACACCTTCCGGGAGCAGTCCAAGGAGTGGAAACCTACCAGGCAGAGCTTGCAGGCCTTCAGTGACTTGGAAGACATGGAAGTCGTCTGGATCACTGCAAAGTTGCCGGACACGGATTTCTCAAACTCGAATGCCGCGGCAGCAGAAGTGGCAGCAGCGCAGCCACGACTGGAACCCCTGCAGCTCAACACCAACATCACCCAAGCCAGCAAAATCAGCAGCAGCAGCAAGGTGGTGGTACCTTTAGAGAGCGGACTCTTCCTCTTTCATGGACGCATCTGGATGAAGGCACAAGAGCGGCAGCTTCTCCCATTGCGGTGGACTGCCAGCAAACTGGCTGATACGTTGGATTCGCTCAGTCCTGCTAAGTTCGTCAGTATGTTTAGTCTAGTCGAGTGATTTTCTTCTCCGATATAGCAGCTAGAGGCTTTTACCTGGTAGCCTTGTAGCGGTAGTAGCAATTTTGTTACATAGAGAGCAAAACTCTCTTCACCTAGAACAGCTAGAAGAACAGCACGATTCGATAGAGCTCAAACGTGGAGGAATGCCGAGAATGCGGCAAAAGGATCTAGCTAAGATTCGTCGCGGCGATTACCTTGGAAAGCGCGCTTAGCCGGCCTCGAAATACTTCGGGCCCTCCGACGTCCAAGAGCCCTAATCTGCCCAAGGCGCTAGGGTTTGTCACGCGCATTGGTCGCGCCTCCCCAATGGCGGACGAATTCTCCTCGCCGGTAGCGCCCACCGCCAGCTCCAGCTTCACCAGCACCATCGGGATCGATCCAATGAGTAAGTGTCGTTCGCTCTTTCCAGCGCTCTCATCGATCTCGCGCTCGCTCGAAATTTCGAGCTCTTAGACACCGATTTCCTTCTTTTTTTCTTTTTTCACTTCGTTCCTTCCAGAACGGTTGAAGAGGATGCATACCAGACAACGCGAGCAGCTCGTTCTCACGAAGCAGCCGCTCACGACCACGAAATTCTTCCTGCTGGCCATGCTCCAACATCTGGGACGGATTTGGATCTACGCTGCGAGGCACAGATTCACGTTTCTCTTGTTCCTTTTTCTCTGCTTCGCGTCGGGATGCACACTGCTGGTGGTCGGAGGGTATGAGAAGGTATTTATTTCTCTTCTCCCATTCAAGCCTGCTCTTCATGAAAGCTCGATTCTTCTCTCGCAGGTAATGGAGGAAGCCTGGCTATATTTTCGTTTCGCTGTATGGTGGATCGGCCTTGGAGTGGCTTCTTCGATCGGACTCGGTAAAGTTCCTGGATTTTTTTAAAAGGTTTCTCTCTTAAAGTCTTACGCGTTTCTCCAGGCTCGGGACTACACACGTTCGTGCTCTACCTTGGTCCTCACATTGCCATGTTTACGCTCAAAGCCACCCTCTGTGGACGCGACGACTTAAAGTCCGCGCCATACGACACACCATATTTTGGAACGAGTGCCTCATGGGCGGACAAGGACTGTACGAGCATTGGAGCTCCCCAGTTTCCCCGGCTTGCATCCGAGCACGAGAGTTACATGGTCCCGCTCTACAATGTCTTGGTACAAGTCCAGCCCGAGGCAGTCTTGTGGGGGATTGGGACGGCCCTTGGAGAGCTTCCGCCTTACTTTGTTTCTAGAGCAGGTATCCTCATTTCATTTGCTTTTAAGTTTCGTGTCACTGACTTAGAAGGTCCGCAGCTCGGTTGTCTGGCGAGCGTCTAAAGGCTCTTGACGACATCGAGAACGAGTCCGCCACAAAGGATTCCTTGCTGACGCGAGTAAGGCAGTGGATGGTGACGAAAATCCAGCGGTTTGGATTTTTCACGATCTTGATTTGTGCTTCGGTATGTCTATATTATTTCTTTTTAGTGTTGCTTTTTGGCACGACTCACGCTCCGTTCCGCAGGTGCCGAATCCGTTGTTCGATTTAGCGGGAATGATGTGTGGGCATTTTCTTGTTCCTTTCTGGAAGTTTTTCCTGGCCACCTTATTGGGGAAGGCAGTCATCAAGACGCACATACAGGTACTGTATCTTGACAGTAACAGAAAATCTCATTTGTGCACTGTTTGGCAGACGATTTTCATCATCTTGGCTTGCAACGCGCACTTGGTAGAGCTCATATTGGACTCGCTAACCTGGAGCTTATCTAAGGTGCCTACGTTCTCCTTCATCTTGCCGAGAATCAGGACCACTCTACAAGGTGCCCAGGAGAGCTTTCGTCACGGCCAGCAAGCGAAAGTAAGTAGTCTCTCCAAGATCCTTGGTACTGACAAGATTGAAGACGCAAAATCTAGTCTTGTTCCTCGGTACTGATGGATGTTGCTTTCAGTCCGGGCAGCCAAACATGGTCGCGTTCGCCTGGAACACCTTCGTGATGGTCATACTCATGGGATTCCTGGCTTCCATCGTGAATTCCACGGCGCAGGGCTATCTCATGCAACGCCAGCTGCGAGAAATGGAGACGGTCGAGAAGCAAGAGGAGCAACAACAACAAGCTCCTCGTCAGGATTGAGTCCCAAGAACTCACTCACTGACCCTTCTCCTCGAATTTTTTTCTCTCTCTCTTTCTTTTTCTCTGTTCTCCTTTTGGGAAGCTAACCAGCAGGCAGACTAGAAGAGGCAGTACCGCCAAGATCACTACTCTCTCCTTGATTCCTCGATTCCTTCGAACGACAACGATGACAATATCATAGCCATAGCAATTGTACATGAACACCACGATTCTTCTTACTCGAACGATTCAATCAAAACGTTGACTTAGTTGACTAAGTCAACGAAAAACATTGACTCTAATGGTCAATGGACAATCGTGCGTTCGCATTGTATATTGTTGGGTCAACAGCACTGCCACGTGACCGTGGACCCACGAGGAAGCATTAAAATAGCACACTTCACATGACGGTCACATGGCAAATTATCCGTTAGCAAGCCTGGCCGTTGGATGGCGCGACAGCAGTCTCGGTTCGACGGTGGACGGGAGTTGCTTAGAAACCACGCCGCATTGCATATCGCTTTCGCCGCGTGCCGCGACTTCAAGCGTTGGATGCGGGCTCGCGACGGTTGAGATGTGAATGACATGCTGACGGTTGATGGGTGCCGATCAACGGCACAGCTTTGCTTTCCACGATTTCCACGAACAGCAAAGAGCGGCAGTGTTTTAAAGAAGGAAGAAGGAAATCTCTTGTGATTTCCAGTTTGATCCTCGCTATGAGCGCGCGCAGGCCGCCGGAAGAGACAATCTCCAGCTCCTACATTTTCAAGGTAGCAATTTGACTTAAAAATTTTGGAGCAGCCTTTTACTTGGATTTGTAGGTGCATTACTTGATCGAGAGATGCCTGCTGCTACATATGGATCAAGAAGAAACCATCGAAGCTCTGGCACAAGCGAATGTAGACCCAGCCATTGCTGAAATAGGTACCTCGAAAATCCATGAATAGTTTGATGATAATCCTCTTTTCTTTTCTTGTTCTTGCTTGGATCGCTAGTTTGGAATGAGCTCGTCAAGGCCAACACCGAGTTCTTCGCGCACTACTTTCGAGCGAGAGAGGCCAAGCGCAGCAGCAGCAGACCCGCCGATTCTTCTTCCAGCCGGAGCAGCAGCCCAACACCGTGGAGCTCGAGTTTATCCGTACCAAACTTCTGTAAGGATCAAGGCTGCTTTAGTTCGGATACCTCTTCGGAGAAGCTTAGGAAGAATCGCGAATAAAGACGATCTTTTTCGCGCTCCAGGCCTATAAAACCGCACGAATCCCCGTACCTGCTTGCGAGCATACTTTCCAGAGAGGAAAGAAATTTGTCTTTTGCCTGCATTAAAACGGGTAGAACAAAAAAAGGAAGTCGAATTTAAGAACCTACTTGGTCCCATTGCAGAGCAAAAACTGGCACATGTTCGAGAACGACTATTGTCCTGCACTCACAAACAAACTCGTGAATCACGAAGCGAAAGTAGCAATCGGTTCTCTTTTCTGATACTTGTACATGAGATTTACGCTTGGTCTGCAACACCACCATGGTTGTCATCAATATCAGCTTATTGTCACACACCTTTCGCTTTTTGCTAAATTATTCCAAGAGTCTCTTCGAGTTCTTGATCCCACCTCACGCATCCATTTGCGAGAGGGACTCGAGCAAAACCTTCTCGATCTGCACTATTCTCTTGCCGATGGACATGTCCACGAGCTTGTCCCCGACCTCCACGATACAGCCCCCTATGATGTCCTCGTTGATCTAAGCCCAAAAAAGTAGCTAACCGGTAAGAGCGCATTAGCAAGAGGGAATCGCGCATACCTTTGTCTCAATGATCGCAGTTTGTCCAGGCTCTAGCATCGTGTCCACCACATTCTTCTTTATGTAATCCAAATCGGAGGATGAGGGCTCCTGAAAGAGGAGAGAAACGAAAAACCACGCAAATGTTAATGCCAGCAACCAGGCTTCACTAGTACGTACATCTGCTGTGGTAATAAGCGTTCGTATACGCCCCCTGTGAGCGTCCATCACCTCGGCAAACGATTTCGCGATCCTTGGAAAGAGTTTGAACTGGCCATCCTCAGCTAAGATTGCTGCTCAAACAACCACAATCAGAAAAGACGAGAGAAAAAAAGGCAAACTTACTTAGAAAGTTCATGGTGATCGTATGTAGATTGGAGTCACCAAAGACTTTCTTCACGGTCTCAATGCGGTCTTCCCTCTTCATGAAGATATCCTCCGCGAAAGCTTGAAACTCGGGGGACTGCGCGACCGCGGCTGCGATCGCCCGCATTTCAGAGTCCACTTGGTCGGTAGCCTCGGCCCTCACAGCCGTCACATACAAGGAAGCAGCGTAGTTGCCATGAACACCACTCAAGAGTTTCGGCATCTACAAGAAAGAAAAAAAGAAAAACACCATCCCTTCATGCAAGCCCAAAAGAGAGAGAAAAAAAATCTTCCTTACCTTCACAGGAGGAGGTAGAGGAGGCAAATCCTCCTTGGCTTTATCAGCGAAATCCCTCGCATCCTAGCAATCGCAACCTACATTAGCTCGAGGAGCGGCAAGAAAGAAAAGGTAGCCTACCCGGCGAGAGAAAAGGAGTGCCGGACGAACAAGAGGCGATCTGTTGACACTCGCGACCTGCGACAAGAATCGAGTCACTAGAGGCGCTGCTCGCTCCTCCTGCCGCGCGAGAATCGCCCACGCCCCGCGCAGCGCTCCCGCCGCTCGCCGCATTGGATCGCTGTAGGTAGAAGAAACCCTAGCTCAGTTCTAGCTAGGGCAAAGTGAAATATTTCGAGCGGAGACGATGAATCCATGCGCGCCAGTGGTGGTAAGTAGCAAATCTCTCCCCTCTCCCAGCTCCTCCACCGATCTCACAATTCGTGCGTGGGATTCTTCCCAGGAATGATCGCGCCTCTCCCAAAATCTCTCGCGAGCGCAAAGATTTTCCATGGAAGCCGACGCATCGTCGGCGCCAGCAAAGGCGCCGCCAGTGGACAGGAAGATGTGGGCGGCGTTCGAGCGGGGATTTAGCCAGGTCCAATTCCTGCTCGATCACAACCGGCTCCTCATCAACGAGATCAACCAGAACCAGGAATCCAAGGTCCCCGAGAGCCTGTCCAGGAACGTGGTGCTCATCAAGGAGCTCAACAAGAACATCGGCCAGGTCGTGAGCTTGTACTCCACCATCTCCTCCTCGTTCGTCAAGTCTTTCGAGAATTCGCAAGAGGGCGATTCCATCCCAGCGCCAGGGACCGCGAAAGCCATGGATTCTCCCGCCGCTGCCGCTGGAGCGGTGGGTCACAAGAGAGTTCGATCGTCATAGCGAAGCAGCACTCTGGAAGAGCTGTGGAAGGAACTTCTTTGATTCTTTTCCTCGCTGGGAGGAAGTTTTATACCAAAAGGAAAAGCTATGTTTGTAGCGATGCTGTGGAGTTTAAAAGGTTTTCTTTGTAGCTATAATGATAAGAGGAAAAAATCCAACACCAGGAACTTCTACGCCTTCAAGTATAGTTTTCACACAATCCCCAACGAATTCGTTCTTCTCGCCTTGTGATTCCGATTTCTCTCAGAGGAAAACGTCGTTTTGCAAGAGCTGGACGATCTCGTCCTGATTGTTGAGCTTGGCAACGTCCATTGGAGTTTTGCTGTCCATGTTTCTTACAGTCCTATTGGAACAAGGAAAAGTTAGTCCAATCCAAGCGCGAAAGAACGAAGAGGCTTTCGAGACACTTACACGGCCGCTCCGTTCTTCAATAGCAGCTCCACGCATTCCTTCCGGCCGTAGCCACCAGCGTAATGCAATGGAGTGTTGTTGTTCTTGTCCACCGAGTCCACGAACGCCCCAGCCTCGAGAAGAGCTTCCGCGCATTTCAACTGGAAAGAGATGACAGATGAGTCGTGGAGGAGGAAATCAACTCAATCTATTTGCTTACCTCTCCGTATCCACAAGCAAAATGAAGTGCTGTTCTCCCTTCCGAGTCTTTCTCATCCTTGTTTGCACCGTCTGCTAGAAGAACTTTCAACCCCTGGGTATGAAGAGCATGAGAAAAACAAAATTATATAGAGAAAACTCAGGTACCTCAATGTCGCCAGTGCTAGCGGTGTGATGAAGGGTCAGTTCCTCCTCTTCCTCGCCCTCGGCTTCCGCTTCTTCGACTTCCTCCCTTGGCAAGCCAAAGTGCTGCGGACCCCCTACTCCCATTGCCCGTCCTAGCTTGTTAAGAACATCGGGATCATTCCAGTACCTGGCAAAAGTTCACATCACAAAAGTCAGTCACTTGCACGAGTGAGAGAGAATAAGGAAAAGAGGATCGTACTTCATCATAGCTGCTGGGCCTCCTTGCTCGATCTCGTCGAGAACTGGCTTCAAAGCGGGATCCTCTCTGATTTGCGACATGCGTGCCTCGAGTTGCTCCTTATGAGCTGGATTAGTCATGTTCTGGAGCATTGCTGCCATGGATGGATCCTGGAAAACAGAGAAACAAGAGCTTGAGACAATAGAGCTTCCAAACACTACCTGCATGAGAGCATTGCCAAGGCGCTCCGCCATGCTCATGAACTGTGGGTTTTGCATAACTTGCTGCATTGCCTGGAAGTATTGATTCGTGTCGAGCTGTGGAACACCGTCTCCGGCGGTCTGGACGCTCTCGGATAGTTGCTGTGCCATGCGATTGAATGCCGGATCCTTGGCAATTTGCTCCGCCATGTCTTTGATGCTTGGATCCTGGCAAAAAAAAAGAAAAAGAGTGCAGTTCAAGAAAATTTCTAGCAAAACAGTATCTAGAAAGAACTAAAGCTTACATTCAACAAGCTCGTCATCGCCGACATGTCGAAAGCGTTGAAATCCGCCTGCGATGAGGAGGACTCGGATTTCTTGTCATCCGCGGCCTTTTCTGCGAATCGCAAAGCAATGCCGAGTGAGAAATTGACCTAATCTATGCGCGAAACCCCGACCTGCTGGAGCCGACGCCATGGCGCCGCGATAGAGACGATCCCCGAATTCGTGAGAAACAATCCCCGCCCTGCGAATCGCGCAACCCTAGCACTGCTCTCCCCGACGAAGCGGATAAGCCGGAGCCTCCAATCAACCCTAGAACAATGAAATCATATTGGGTAAAAGTAGTAAATAAATCTACCAAGAAATGTACCTGGGGTTAAAACTACTCCAAGCTTGCTGTCACTCACAGCCACACCATGGCCATATCTTATCCCTTCCAAGGAGAGGATATTCGCCTCTTCGTGTCGTGTCACGAGGAAGAAATATGCCAGTTCCAGCAAATCTATCGATACGTCTTCGTTGCTTGCTTTGACAACGAGGTTCTTTTTTAATTTACAGCTTTTTACTAATTGACTTCTGCCTTTGATAGAAAAGAATTAAGAATATTCGGAATTGTTAAAATGTTTACTTGATTTATGTAAACTGCATCAACTAAAGCCAAAAGGACCGTCCTTTGTTTAGCGAACCTTTTGATTGCTTTACTATAAAGGTAGAACTAAGTTCTAGGGTTTACTTACACATGGAAAAGTCTCCAAGCCAAAAGCAAAAGAAAGAGTGGCGGACGAACGCATATTTCTATGCTTCCAAGGGCCAATACGTGAGGGCGATGATCTACGCCGAGCTGCTAGGGCAGCCTCCAGATATGATGGAGATCATGGATCTCATCGCGCCAACCGAGCCGGACTTCTTCAAGAAGCAGTTCGAGCTATGCAAACACCCCCCGCTACCATATACCTACCCATGATTAAATCTATCATCCTTTGTAACTTCAAGTATAGACTATAGTCTGTTTCCAAAATCTATCACCTTCAGCCATGTTATAGTTTGTTTTCAAATCTATCATCCTTTGTACCTTCAACTATGTTATAATTTCTTTTCAAATCTATCATCCTTTGTACCTTCAGCTATGTTGTAATCCATCATCTTGTTTTAAAAATATATACTATTCCACGTGGCAAACCATACAGGTGGAAAACGGTGGCCGGCTCAAGCAGCAAGCGCGCGCAAATTTTCCATCATTGTTCTCCTCCTTTTTTCTTGGGTTCACTCTCTCTCATTCTCAATCTCCATCTCTATTGTCTTGCAAAAGAGATTTCTAGCCATGGCCTGGGACAATTGGGGAGCTCCTCCGCCAAAGAAGCGCTACTCCAAGAAGGAGCGCTTCCCAGTTCCATGGAGAAAGGTGGAGATCCCACGCAAGAAGGAGAGGAGGCGGCCCGCTTCGCCGCTGGACGACCACCTGGATCAAGCCAAGGTGAAGAAATACCGCAAGAACAAGAAGAAGCGGCTCCCGCACGACCCTCCCGTTGTGCCGGGGGAGATCTCGCCATGCAAGCCACTCTCGTATATCGGGTTCTTCCGCCCAAAGTTGGCCAAGCAAGCGGATGAAGAGGAGGAGCCAAATCCCCAAGGCCAGATCACCATGACCAAGCCTGATGCATTTCTGGATTTCTTCAAACCCCTGCGCTGGATCCGAGGCTGTCCCGCACCCAGGAGTGTTGTTCATGCTCCAAAGCCGCCGCCGGATCCAAAGCTGGTTCCTCGGGTCAGGAAGAAACGTGTAAGCCTCGATCTTAGGATTTTACATAAGAATTGATACGTGATCATCCATGCAGAGGAAATATAAGGTTCGTGGCTACAAAGTTAGGCGAGGATGGTATTGCGAGCAAGTCGGATACAAGCTCAGGAACACACCTGTTGAGAATTTCCTGTGCTACTCATCCGAGGAGAAGGAGGTTGGAACCTAAATCTTTCTTGTGAGAATGTTTCTAAGGTAAACTCTTCTGAAGTTGCTCTCGCGAGATTGTTTGGCTGATTGCTTGCGTTGTTTTTCCCTGGAAAAGCTGGTCGAGAGGATCAAGGAGCGCAAGAGGAGGAAAGACGAGATCAAGTTTGAAAAGATGTATCGATCGTATTCCAGAGGCGCGGAGTACAAAAAGGGACACATACTGCGGCAAATGGGCGATATGATCGAGCTGGTTGACGAGAAGCATGTCAAGAAGCTTGGGATCTTGTATGAGAAGTGGAGAATGCAAGTTTTCGAGCCCATACAGAGGCAGATCGAGGACGAGCTGAATAGAATGTCTCCGGATTACATCAAGGACAAGCTCAGTAAGAAATCTTAGACTTTCAGTTAATTCATTCATTTGCCAATTTGCAGGATGGTACCAGTATCAATACTGTTCGATAGCCAACAAGCAGATGATTTTGCGAGATTTTCCACGTCCAGATTATAATCCTTTCGAGCCCCTGGAGCATACAATTAAGTACAGCCTCAAGGATGTGGTCGATCCTTGCAAGCATGACATACGAAAGGTTGGTCTCCTTATTAGAATTTTATGGAGTTTTTCTTATTATTTGATATTAATTAAATTTCTGATCAGGAAAACAATGAGAAGAGATTCATGGGCATTCCCGTGTCCGAGACTCCGGTGACGAGATTTACACTGGGATTGGAACATTATCCAGCATATCACTTTAGAGGTACTGTTTGGGGACATATTGAAGCCGATGAAGAAGATGGCTCAGAGATCGTCATCAAGCAACCAGAGTACGAGTTTAAGTTTTTAAATCGCAGATATGCTCTGATTTGTTTTTTCGTTTTTCAGGAAATATTATTCTCACGATTTGCTCTGGAACCAGAAGTTTGTTGGTCACGATTACGTGAAAGCAGAGTTCCCACTCGGGCGATATGTAAGTTTTAGTAGAAGTTCTTTCTAACTTCTAATACTTTGCTGCTTCTATCTTTCCCAGATGAATCCTTGCAAGGGAGTGTTGCCAGAGACACAGAAATTCAGGGAAAAACCTCAGGGTTTAGGCATGGTTTGGGACGTCGAGTGCCAAACTCAACCAAAACTCCGACTGTACTACAACTAAACTTCGTGTGTCCAAACTTAGTAATCTACTTCCAAAACTGCTGCTTGAATTTATCTATAAGATGAGAATCTCTTTTCTTTACAAGGCATACGTTGTGTTAAGATACTTGATAATCTCCGAGCTTTCAAACATCTCCACACCGGTGTTGGGGTCTTCTAAGAAAGGAACCTGGGAAACAAAAGAGTGATTCCAACACCATTGTATCGAATTTATGAGTACCTGATAAATTCCAGTCCGTTCCAAGAGATAATTTCGTTTGGGACTTCCACGAGCGGCACTGGACAGTGTAAAGTAGAGACTTAAAAAAGAGCTCTCGAGAGAAGAAAACACAAACTAGAGACTTACTTGTAGTAAACGTGAGGGAGCTCCAATTCAACCAGCCTTTCTCGTACGATCTTACAGAAAGGCGAAAGCTGCTCACAAAATCCAGCTTTAAGATATAGCTCTCTCTTTCTTTTTTGAGTTTTCAATTCACCTCGTACGCCCAGATCTTTAGAGGCTTGTCTGGTTTTCTCGCAGGAACGTATTGGGATCCCTGGTTTGAAAACAAAAACCTGGTTTGTATCGTCAAAGTGAAAGACGTAAAAGTTTACCTTGCCTGCACGCCCAAGCATTGCTAATCCTGCTGTTAGAGTCTGTTATAATTTGATAGCAAATGAAAAGCCGGTGGAAAAAATATATACACAATACATTACCGTGAAGAAACCCAGTGACAGCATAAAAGGCACCTTCCCATTCCCTGGAAAAACAATCGACGACAAACTAACAAGTCTATGGTATTTGAAAACAATTTACCGTATTTATCTACAAGGTACTTGATGATTTCATCCGATTCGTACATTGCAACATCCGTGTTGGGATCTACCTGACGAAAAAACAAAACAAAAACGAGCATTTGATAGAAAGCTTAAAGTTTGCAAAGCTTACCATGTAAGGGAATTGCTTTTTACCACCAAGTTCGATAGCTTTGGGACGATAGGTTGGACCGTCTTTAGGACAGGGATAAAACAAGATGTCGAGATCCAGGATCGTAGCAGCTTCTCTGACCTATGAAATCAAACACACTTTTCTTCAGGCCTTTCCAATCGCTTGCAATCTGAGTTACCTTACGACAAAATGGACAACTAAGGAAAAAAAGAAACCATCAGTAAGCGATGAAAGAACGAAAGAAGAAAAAACGAAAGATTACCCTTCGAATTCATAGATTTGTATGGGCTGTTGTGGTCGAGCTCCTAGCACTGCAGTCTCCACGAGCTTCTGTCCTGATTTATTACCAAACTCTCTACAGATTATAAGAAAAAAAAAAAACTTTTTACCTCCAAAATCAAAGAGCGAGTACTGCGACGGTGGAACTTGCTCCTTGGGAACAAAGGATGCCTTGTAGCTATATCCAAGCATAGAAAATCAAATTAGAGAGTTTTTTTTTTCTTTCTCATACCCTTGGACGAGAGCTCCTGTTCCCAGACGAAGCGGCACTGCCAAGGAAGCGCCCAATATGTCGAACATTTTGTCATTCTCCACATGGTATCTCCTTGCCTGAAATTCTTTCTTGACAACGTCGATCGCGGAAGAAGCTTCTTCTTGAATTGCTACTCTGGAATCATCCTCGGACGCAGCGGCCACGAATCTGTGCCTGGATCTTCGCGATAATGTAAGACCACTTGGGATTCTGCCACTGCACGATGCCATAGCCATCGCCATTGATAAAGATCTTCCTTTTTTCATTAGAGAAAAACTTATATATCTATGGTTTGTGAAAGTGTGATTTTTCTTTGGCCGAGAGATTCATCGGCTCAAACGTGAAATTGAGTAGGATCATCGCAAGGATGATCTTCGTCTCGATCATGGCGAAGCTCTGTTCCACGCAAGTTCGCGGCCCCACGGAGAACGGTAAGAACGGCCTTTGCTGTTGGGCGACGAACCTATTTGGATTGAAGCTCTTGGCATCTTCTCCCCAGAGCTTCTCGCTGTAGTTTGTGACAATCAGAGGCAAGAGTAGCAGAGTTCCTTTTGGGGTGGCTAGTTCTTTGAGCTTGACCTGGTTGTGGTTGTTTGCGTAGCGATTTAGCAAAGGAACCGGGATCACCATTGTCATCTGGAGCAAAAGAAAGAAAGAGTTTTACAAAAGAAAAGAGGAATGGAAAAGCTTACGGATTTGAGATTGCCCAGCATCTCCAAAGAGTTTGGAGCGGAGACTTCTCCACAAACTTCACGAACTTCGTGACGTAGTCGAGTCTGCCATTCGGGATTGAGTGCCAAAAGCAGCATCGTCCACGCTAGTAGAGCTGCCGACGTTTCTTGGCTAGTGAAAAAGAAAGTCTTGCACTCGTCGATCACGTCCTGCATCGTCACCTGGATTTCCAGCTTCTTACCGTTGTTAAAATCCAAAACTCCTTCGTTTGCAGCCAGCATCAATCCCAAGAGATCCTTCCCGTATGATCCACTGACACTCGACTCCTTCAATCGGCCACCTGCGTCGATTGGTGGACGTTGGAAGAAATCTAATAAGTTTATCAGGAAAGCGAAGAAAACGAAAAGAAAAGAGACAAAAACCGCACCTAAAACCTGGGAGATGAACTTGACCTTGCCACTCCAAGTGAATGTATTGCTGCTCGATTTTCTTCTGGAAAACTTCCTTCCCTGCAGTGTAGCTCGTCCCAAAAGCCGTCCGGCACAAAACATCCCGTGTGATGTCTCGGAGCTTTAACGCAAGATCCACCGGTCCATCGGTGGTCTTCCACTGCTTGAGGTTCTCCTCGACACAAGCTACCATAGCATCGATCATCAACTGAGGGAAAACAAGAAGGAAAACATTCAGAAGCTGAAGAAACTAAAAGTTTTGAAACCTTGAGCTTCTCGCTGTGGAAAGCCAAAGAGACCATCTCTTATTCATAGTCAGCAACGCAATCCCATCTCCAAACAAATCCCTGGCGGCATGCTGGCCGGGTTCTCTGTCAAAGCTCCCACTTTTGTCGCAAAGCACTTCTTTCATCAGCTCTGGATCGCTTATCATCAGCCTTGGCTGTGATCCCCGCCAAACGAAAAACGTTTCACCTGTTCAAAGATTCATCGAGCTTCAATCATCACGAACGATTCCACGAAGACTGGGAAAAGATCGATCTCGTACCGCATGATCTGGACCACGCTGCATAGTAGGGAAGAACTTTCGCCACAACGCCAGCATGATGGTCGTTGCTAATCTCGCCAGTGGAACTCTTGGCAACTTCTACTGCCATGAGCTCGCGCATTTGATCCAAGTTTCCGAGGAACAAGCGTGGGATCGGTCCCAAGACGCCTTGCTGCTTGAAAGCCTGGAGGAGGAGCCGAGGCCTCCACAGGAAGTCGTGAGCCCATTGCCAAACACATATCGTTGCCGCCAGAGAGATCCCTGCTGTGACAACATTCCAGATTCGTAGAAACGAAAGAGGAGAGAATTAAAACTAAAAAGTCTGATGTTGGCTTGTTCAAAGCCTTCTAAAGAGAGAAATAGAATAAAAGAAACGTATCTGCGTGATGGGAAGTCGCAAGCAACGAGGATCTCGTACAAAAGAAAGGTAGTGCCGTGGACTTCAAAGACAGATGGGCCCCATTGAGCTGAATTTTCTATGATCCGGAAAACGACGCGCCAAAGAGTAGAGGGTCCTCATTCCCGCCAATAGCTTTCGAAATTTAGGGCTCTTGGAGGCGGGGGCGGGTTTTAGGAATTACCATGGCTGCTAGAACATCTCCATTTATTGATCATGAATATGTCATGGAGGCCAAGAGCTCGGTGGAATGATTGTTAAGAAGTAATATGCTCAGATTATAGGCTAGTGTGAGCTAATATAAAGGATGTTATTTAATCTTGATTTGTTTTTCAAAGAGAAGAAAATAAACTATGCAGATCTTTACCAGATTTTCATTTGAAATAAAAAGTTAAAATAAATGTATGGCTCATCTATAATTTTGCATACAGCAAAAGGTAAAGGATGGAAATGAATTTTATTTTTCCTTTTGCCCCCTTTTCTTATAATCTTCCTTTCTTCTAATCGATTATTGAAAAGATAACCTTGATTCGTTAAAAGGTAACACAAATTTATATTTCTTTAACGGTGTATATATACTGTTCGTCATAGTTTGGAAAATGTTATTGTTCTTTGAAGACTTTCACTGGTTTGCCAGGAGATTCATCGGCATGCCAAACTTTGGCTGCAAAGTTAGCACCTGAAATGGCGAGTGGACGTAAGTTTCCGAGAGCTCAAACTTGAACTTGCGTAGGATCATCGCAAGGATGATCTTCGTCTCGATCATGGCGAAGCTCTGTCCCACGCAAGTTCGCGGCCCCACGGAGAACGGCAAGAACGGCCTTTGCTGTTGGGAGACGAACCTATCTGGATTGAAGCTCTTGGCATCTACCCCCCAGAACTTCTCGTTGTAGTTTATGACGATCAGAGGCACGAGTAGCAGAGTTCCTTTTGGGATGACGAGTTCTTTGAGCTTGACCTTGTTGTGTGTGTAGCGATTTAGCAAAGGAACCGGGGGATACATTCTAAGAGCCTCGTTGATCACCATTGTCATCTGGAGCAAAAGAAAGAAAGAGTTTTACAAAATTACAAGATAATAGAGGAATGGCAAGTTTACGGATTTGAGATTGCCGAGCATCTCCAAAGTGTTTGGAGCGGAGACTTGTCCACAAACTTGACAAACTTCTTGACGTAGCCGAGTCTGCCAGTCGGGATTGAGTGCCAAAAGCAGCATCGTCCACGCTAGTAGAGCTGCGGACGTTTCTTGTCCCGTGAAAAAGAAAGTTTTGCACTCGTCGATCACGTCCTGCATCGTCACCTGGATGTCCAGCTTCTTACCGTTGTTAAAATCCAAAACTCCATCTTTTGCAGCCAGCATCAATCCCAAGAGATCCTTCCCGTATGATCCACTGACACTCGACTCCTTCAATCGGTTTACGACGATTTTTCGAAGCTTGCTGTCGATTTGTTGCTTTAAAGTCCACCTGCGTCGATTGGCGGACGTTGGAAGAAATCTAAAGAAGCGCTTACGTTTATCAAGAAGGCGTATAGAACGAAAAGAAAAGAGACAAAAACCGCACCTAAAACCAGGCAGATGAACTTGACCTTGCCACTCCAAGTGAATGTATTGCTGCTCGATTTGCATCTCGAAAACTTCCTTTCCTGCCGCGTAGCTCGTCCCAAAAGCCGTCCGGCACAAAACATCCTGTGTGATGTCTCGGAGCTTTGACGCAACATCCACCGGTCCCTCGGTGGTTTTCCACTGCTTGAGGTTCTCCTCGACGCAAGCTACCATAGCATCGATCATCAACTGCAAATGAAAACATTTAGAAGCTTGGTGGAGAAAGAAAAATGAAAACTTTCGAAATAGAGAGAGTTAATCACCTTCAGCTTCTCGTTGTGGAAAGCCAAAGAGACCATCTTTCGCTTTTGGGACCATCTCTCGTTCATAGTCAGCAACGCAATCCCATCCCCAAACAAATCCCTGGCGGCATGCTGGCCGGGATCCCTGTCAAGACTCCCACTTTTGTCGCAAAGCACTTCTTTCATCAGCTCTGGATCGCTTATCATCAGCCTTGGCTGTGATCCCCACCACACCAAAAACGTTTCACCTGTGTACACATTCCGCGAGCTTCAATCATCCACAAAAACTGGGAAAAAAGATCGATCTCGTACCGTATGATCTGGACCACGCTGCATAGTAAGGAAGGACTTTCGCCACAACGCCACCATGATTGTCGTCTCTAATTTCGCCAGTGGAACTCTTGACAACTTCGACTGCCATGAGCTCGCGTACTTGATCCAAGTTCCCGAGGAACAAGCGTGGAACCGGTCCCAGGACGCCTTGCTGCTTGAAAGCCTGGAGGAGCCGCCGAGGCCTCCAAAGGAAATCGCGAGCCAGTTGCCACACACATATCGTTGCTATCAGAGAGACCCCTGCTGTGACAACATTCCAGATGAGATCCATTCCTCCGCGAGAAGAAAAAAAAAATAAATTTTCTTCTACGCCTTCTACCGCGGGAATAGGAAGAAAAAAGAAACAGTACCAGTCCTTACATTTCTCTGCGTGATGGAAGTCGCAAGGAGCAGGGATCTCGTACATAAAAAAGGTAGTGCTGTGGACTTATATGGGCCCCTTGTGAGCTGAATTTTCTATGCCACGGAAAACGACGTGCCACCGTGTTGGATTAAATAGCAGGCAGCGGGCAGCGATTGAAGCACCGATCCATCTTACCAGCCAGCCATAAAGCGAAACTTTAGGATCTTCGATTTCCCGCCAATAGAAATTTAGGGCTCTTTGGAAACTTGGTTTAAACACTTGGGATATCTTTGGGTGGTTTCCAAGGTAAGGAAGTGATCCTCTCTGGTATAAAACTTTGGGGGCGGGATTCCAAAACACCATGGCTGCTGAAGTTCCCCTTGTTGATCATGAATATGTCATGGAAATCGAGAAGGCCAGGCAAGAGCTCCGTGGAATGATTGTTGAGAAGCAATGTGCTCCGATCATGCTAAGGCTAGCGTAAGTGAATATATGGAGGTTGGTTTATTTGTATGATCTTGAAACATTTTTTTCTTTAAGGTGGCACGATGCAGGAACCTATGATCGGGAAACAAAAACAGGAGGTCCAAATGGATCAATTCGACTAGAGGGTGAATATAATCATATTGCAAATAGGGGCATTAAGGCTGCTATTGATCTTTGTGGTGAGTAGAGTTTACTTTTGGCTGAATTCTGCAGTAATCATGATTTATTTTTTCTAGAGGAAATCAAAGAGAAGTGCCCCAAAATAAGCTATGCAGATCTTTACCAGGTTTGCATTTTGAAATAAAAAGACAAATAATGTATCTGGCTCACATATATGTTGTTTGGATAATTAGCTAGCAGGAGTTACAGCAGTGGAAGTCACTGGAGGACCAACAATCAGTTTTGTTTCAGGAAGGAAAGTATGGTAAAACATTAATCTTTGAACACCATGCATTTTCTTTTTTTTCTTACAGGATTCTTCAGTAATACCCCCTGAAGGACGTTTACCAGATGCTTCTCAAGGTCATTGATAATTTCTATATACTTTTCTTACTGATATGATAATTTTCCTTTATGATCTCTAAATTTGCAATTTAGGTGCAAATCACTTGAGAGATGTTTTTGGTAGGATGGGCTTAAATGACAAAGATATAGTTGCATTATCTGGTGGTCATACACTGGTGAGACCTTTGGGATTTATAAAGTTTTTTTTAAAGACATTTTTGGCAGGGAAGAGCTCACAAGGACAGATCAGGATTTGATGGACCATGGACATCAAATCCTCTGATCTTTGACAATTCTTATTTCATGTATAAGTCTTTCTTCCTGTTCAAGTCTTTTTTTTTACCATTTTTTTTTCTTCTATTCCATGTGAACAGTGAGCTGATTGAAGGAGAAAAAACTGGACTTTTAAAGCTACCAACAGATACGTGTTTGATGGAAGACAAAGTATTTCGTCAATATGTTGAAACTTATGCCAAGGTAATCGATCACAAGGTTTGTGGAGATGATTATAATAATTTCGAGAGCAGGATAAAGACACATTTTTCCGTGATTACGCGTGGTCTCATAAGAAATTATCTGAGCTCGGTTTCATCGATCACCCAGATGAAACCCAAGAGAACACATATGATAGCTCATTCACATCAATCACCATATTAATTGGAGTGGTGATCACAGCAGCAGCAGTGGGTTTAGTTGCAATGATATGGTCATGAAATAAACTAGTATAATGTTTCGCATTAGTATAGATTTGTGTTTGTATGGATGGATGGTTTTCTGATCCTCGTTTTGATGATTCTTTCTATGGTCAACTAGATGGAACTCTCGAGTGATGATCCATCGTCTTAATTCTTCTTCGTATTTCGTGGCTTTCTTTCCACATTCCAGCCGCGGCATACGTGTTTGCCATGAGCGAGTAAGCTGCCGAATCCTCGCTGTCTAGCTCCACCACTGCCTCAAACGCGATCCTGGCCACTTCCACATCCTTCCACTTCCGAGCGGCCGCTAGCACAGTCATCCATATCACCCTGTCCGCTCTAATAGGCATCGCTTCCACCAAAGCCAGCGCTTCCCGGAGATGGTTCTTCCTCCCGAGAAGATCGACCATGCAAGTGTAGTGCCCAAGTCCGGGAGCCACTCCAAAGCTGCTAGACGAGGAGCGCATCTTCTCAAATATCTCCTTCCCTTTGTCGACGAGCCCCGCGTGGTTGCATGCGTTGAGCACGCAGAGAAGCGTCACTCCATCTGGTTGCAGGGAACTAGAAGCTTGCATCCTCTCGAACTGGGAGAAAACTTTCCCGGTGTCGCCGTGGTAGCCATAGCCTGCGATGAGAGCGTTCCACGCCACCAAGTTCTTTCGAGACATGGCTTCGAAGACTTGCTCGCTCTCGGCCATGCTCCCACACTTCGCATAGAAATCCACCAGAGAACTCGCGACAAGCTCGTCACTCTCGAGTCCCGCCTTGCGACTTTCAGCATGGATTTCTCTCCCGGTTTCCAGTGCCGCGAGAGTGGTGCAAGCCTTCACCACCGCGGCGTAAGTTCTAGCATCCGGCAGTAGCGATCGTTGCTCTTTCATTCTGGAGAAAAGCTCGAGAGCGAAGCTTGCTTCGTCACGACTCTGAGCATAACCTGTTATCACCAAGTTCCAAGCTGCCAAGTCGGGTTGCTTCATCCTGTTGAAAACTTTGAGAGCGTCTCCCACACTCCCACACTTCACGTACATCTCGAGCAGACCATTTGCAACAAAGAGATCGTCCTCGTGCCCGCCTTGCAGAACTTGAGCGTGGAGAGCAGCACCTTTGTCCAAGCACCAAGCTCTCAAAGAAGCATCAATCTTCTCCTTCTCGGCCATTTTCTCTCCACTTCCACTCACAGCCTCGGAGCAAGCCTTGAGAGCAGCAACAAAAGTTCTAGCATCCGGTTCCAGTCTTTCTTCGCTTTGCATGCGCTCAAAGAGCTCCAATGCAAGCTCGCTCTTCCCACTCTTCGCGTATCCCAGAATCAATGCCGTCCACGAGATGAGATCTCGCTGCTTCATCCTGTCAAACACCCTCTTCGCGTCGTCCATCCTTCCAAAGTTAGCGTACATATCCACTAGAGCGTTTGCCACCAAAGTTTGCGATTCATAGTCCCCAAGCCGAGAGTGTATCGCCGTTCCAGCGCTCACAAACTTTGCCTGCTCCTCCGGTTTAGCTCGAAAACCAGCACAGCAGGCCTTTATCCCTGCAACGTAAGCTCGAGCGTCGGGTTTCAAAGCATCTTCTTCTTGCATCCGAGCGAAACATTCCAACGCTAGATTTGTTTCTCCACTGTGAACATATCCCAGAATCAGAGCACTCCATGAGATCACATCCCTGTTCTTCATTCTTTCGAGGACCTGGCGAGCTTCTTCCGGCCTCCCACACTTTGCAAATATATCCACGAGCGAGCTGCCGATAAAAGCATCGCAAGAAAAATCATCCTTCTCGGCTTGCGATTGAATTTCTCGGGCCTTTTCTAGACACCTGTTCCTGTTTTGTAAATCCACTCCTTCGTCTCCTTCTCTTTGGTGGCTTCCACAAGAAAGCTCAGCGCAAGCCTTGAGTGCCGCAACGTAAGTTCGAGAATTTGCTTTCAAGCCTTGTTCTTGTTTTTCTTCTCGTTGTTTGAGCCTGTCAAAGAGCTCCAAAGCATGTCCCGGATCACTGCTCGAAGCATACTTCAGAATCATGATGTTCCACGAAACGATATCACGCTGTGGCATTCTATCGAAAACCTGTCGAGCTTCCGGCAAGCTCCCACACTCTCCATACATGTCGATCAGCGCGTTTGCAACGAAGATATCCGACTCGAATCCACCCGTTACTGCCTCCGAGTGGATCGCCCGACCTTTTTCCAAGCCAAGTTCCTTCTCGTTTTCTCTTGCAAGTTGAGTGCAAGCCTTCGCAGCAGCAATCATCGTTCTCGCGTTTGGTCTTAGCTTCTCGGCCTTCATTCGTTCGTAGAGCTCTAGCGCCAAGCCAGCTTCACCGTTTTGAGCGTATCCGGATATGAGCGTAGTCCATGAAACAACGTCGCGATTCGGGATTTTCTCAAACACCTTGCGTGCGCTGGCCAAGCTTCCACACTTCACGTAAGTGTCCACCAGAGCGTTCAACACGGCAGTGTCCGACTTGTGTGGAGACTTGAAGATAAGATCAGCTACGTGCTTGCATTCTTCCAAGCATTTTCTTCTCCCTGCAAGAGCAGCACAAGCCTTTAGCACCGATTGAAAAGTTTTCGAGTTTGGAACCAAACCGTCCTTTCGCATCTCGCCGAAGAGCTCCAGTGCAAGCTCGCCATCGCCACCCTGAGAAGCTCCCATGATCATGGAGTTCCACAAAACCACGTCCCGCTTCTCAACACTCCGAAAGGCCCTGTAAGAGTCCTCCAAGCTTCCACACTTGGAGTACATCTCCACCAGGCTACTCGCAACGAAAACGTCCGAGCCGAGGTCCTTCTGACCAACCCGAGAGTGTAGAAACATCCCTTTCTCCAAGGACACCGGCTTCACAAGTTTCCCGCTAAGTTCCATGGAGTTTTCTTTCGCAGCAGTATCGGCACAGGCTCTCAAAGCCGCCACGAAAGTCCGAGCGTTGGGAGTGAGGCCTTGTTCTTCTTGCAGGAACGCGAAGAGCTCCAAAGCGAGCTCTCCATTTCCAGTTTGCACGTATCCCGACATGAGAGAAGTCCAGGAGATCACATCACGTCGCGGCATTCGATCGAAGACTCTCTGTGCTTCCAGCATGCTCCCACACTTGGCGTACATGTCTACGAGCGAGTTTGCCACGAAAACCTCCAGCTCTTCATCACTGTTCTTTGACTGATCGGCGTGGATGATCCGGCCAGCTCGCAAGTTTCTGGTTTTGCTGCATGCCTTGAGTGCTGCGAGAACGATTGAAATGCTCGGCTTCTCGCCCTTGTCACGCATTTTCGTGTAGATCCTGAGGACTTGGTAGTCTTTGTCTTTGGCTTCATGGCTCCTTCACAATGCATCCAAGGTGAGAAAAGAGAAAGAGCAACAGAATGAGATAGAAAGAGAGAAGAATACCTTGTTGATGGAAGGTCTTGCAATGGCGAAATTCTTCTTTGGTTTGGGAAGAACCTTACAGCCATGTGGTTTGATCGAGATCACCGGGGAATACCATAGCGATGGAGCAAAGAAATCCCATGGATTCAGAGAATGAAAATGCTGCCAAGCGATTGCTCTCTCGCCTTGTTCTAGTGCTCCATCCAGCCCTAGAAATTTTTTGCTCGTTTTCTAGGGTTTTTGGTAAATGGAATTGGAAGAGGTTGTAAGCGAGACGTACAAGACGCCCGAGGCGATGGCGCTGCTCAACGTGGCGGAAATTCGCGAGAAAATCCGGGCGCTGGGGCCGCGGCCCGATCCCCAGGAGGTGGAGGATGCGCGCCAGGCGCTCGCCGCGTCGAATGCGTCGCTCGCGCAAGCTTTGGAGTCGATCGCCTTGGAAGATCTTGAGGCTAAGGTATTGTATTTCCTCCAGGGACAAGGGCAAAATTCTTTGTTTCGATCGATCAGGCTGAGGAGGAGAAGGCCGCGCGGGACGCCGCGGAGCGAGAGAGATTGCCGTTGAGGGCGATTCTCCAGCTTGATGAGCTCCATCGCTTGTACGGGAATTTGCTCAAGGATGCCGAGGCTCTTCTCGAGAAGAATTCTTCGGTTCCAGTGAAGGAAGAGGGGCAAGGGCAGAATCTTGCGGCAAGCCGGCTGCTAGACGAGGCCGCGGAGAAAAAATTGTCCGAGCTAAATCTTTGCAACCAGTCCCTCCAGTTGGTCCCGGAATCCATTGGGAGGATTTCTTCGCTGGTGGATCTCAACTTATCCACGAACCAGGTCGAGGTAGAAGTTTCAGCTATTTTTTTGCCTTGGTTCTAGCTTAAGTTGTTTTGTTTTTTTCAGGTACTTCCAGATGCTATTGCTGGCCTGGCGAATCTCGAAAGGCTCCAGGTGCAGTCCAACCGTCTTCGAATTCTTCCAGACTCTATTGGCTTGATGAAGAACCTCAAGTACTTGAACTGCTCCAGGAACCAGCTAAAGCAGCTTCCAGAGAGCATTTCTGGATGCAGGTAAGCTTTTTTCTTGTGTTTTAGATCGAATGACTAAGTTGGCGAGTTTCCGTTCTGCCAGTGCGCTGATCGAGCTCAATGCCGACTTTAACAAGCTCGAGTATCTTCCATCGAGGTTTGGACGAGGCATGGACTCCTTGGAGCGACTCTCTCTCCAACTCAACTCTCTCACGTACCTTCCACCGACGCTGTGCGAGGCACAAACTCTCAAACACCTCGACCTTCACTTCAACAAGCTCAGATCACTCCCAAGAGCCATCGGCAACTTAACCCGCCTGGAAACTCTCGACGCCAGCAGTAACTTCAGCGATCTCACCGCTCTTCCAGAATCCATGGCCGACTTGGTCTCGCTCACACACCTCGACCTCCGCTACAACCAGATCCGCGAGCTCCCGCTCTCCTTCGGCAGGCTGACCAACATCAAAACACTGGAGCTGGACGAGAACCCACTCGTGGATCCGCCGCTGGAGATCGTCCAGCAGGGAACTCCAGCCACGATGAAGTACCTGGCCTATCGATTGGAAGCGAGCTTGCTCAAGGCCATCGAGGAGGAGAAGTTGCGAAGCTCCCAGCAGCCAAGCTCTCCTTCGTGGATTCCAGCGGCGGCGCAAGGATGGGTCTC